TAAAATAGAGTTTATTGAAAAATGTTCTTAAGCAAAGCAAAAGCGCGAGGTACTATGATAAGCGAATCAAGCAAGTAAGACATCGAGCGATGTAATGTTATTGTTGAGTTACAAAAAACTTGTTGTTTTCTCTTACAACAATGAAAATGTTTGACTTATTTAGATCTTAAAGTTTATTAAATTTTTGAATTCGATAATTGCTATAATCGGTAATGTACATGTTCATTGATGAGTCGAATGCAATGCCTCTTGGTCCATTCAATTGTGTTGCTGCACTACCAGATACAACATTGCCAGCAATTGTAATACCTATCGAACTATTAGGACAAAACATTTGTACTCTATTGTTGTTTCTGTCGACAACAAATACATTCTGATAGATATCGATTTTGACGCCCATCGGATTACTTAACAATGACGAACTGGAGCCTGTCAGGTTTGGAATACCAGCTATTAACTCACCTGATGAAGCACCGGGAATCCATCGCATCAATGTGTTTCCATCATAGTTTGTTATATACATATAATTACTTACTGATGGGAGATAATAGATTCCCCATGGTGAGTTCAACTGATTATTATTGTTACCGGCTCCATTTCCACCACCAGCAACAAGTGTTCCGCTATCTCCTGTTGTTGCGTTCGTTAAATAGCGCATAATACGATGGTTATTATAATCTGTAATATACATATATGTTTCTGTTGGATCGAAAGTAAAATATCGAAGACCATTGAATTGATTGAGTGCGACACCGCTTGAACCAGATATTCCAGCAATGGTTTGTCCAGTTGTTGATTGATTCACAAACTTTTGGACACGATTATTATTAAGATCAGTCACATACACATTTGATTGTGAATCTACATAAACATCCTGCGGATAATTGAATTGACTAGCATTGGAACCAGCTGATTGTAATATTCCGGCTACGAGAATAGGAGTTAATGTATTTTTTGGCACTTTCCACACAACCCCATTCGAATACTCATCCACAGTATATAATGTATCATTTGAATCGATATAGAGGCCACTGATATGTGTTAGTTGCGATGAACTAAGTACTGTTATGCCTGTTGTATTCCACTGCAAACCATTCGGTGCACCTCAAAATACAATATTCTTACATTACAAACGAGACAGCAGTTATTGAAATACTTCTCAAAGTCTACAGAAATCTTGAAAGATAAGGAATGTTCCGTTTCACACAATGTATGCGTTATTTCTCGATTTATGATGTGGTTATCGTAAAAAGAGATCAGATGAATGAATTGTGGAAAACTAGAGTAAGACAACTAACTCAGGCCTAAGTTTATTTGCTAGGCTAGTCTATAATGATGTAGATTTAAATAAATTCTTAACATAGTACGCATAACTATTGCACTATTTTTCTCAATCGTGTGCCACGTAACGAACGAAGTGCGGCTCTAAGTGAGACGCAATTCGATCGTAATCGAACTTATGACTAAGTAGTTTATTTCTTAGATTCGTTGAATTTCCCTTCCTAATAGGTGTTTTTGATTTTAAGGAAAGATACTTTTCTTCGACTGTTTGAAAATATCAAAATCTCATCTATTATGATTCTAATCAATTAGTTAAAACGATAATCAGTCAAAAAAGGAAATCTCAAAATTTTTGTAAATTCTTTCATCAAACTAACTGAAAAGTGAGTGGCTTACATGGATTTTTTGATGTCGTTGTTGTAGTGTTGGTGTTCACCCTTAAAAAATATATAAAAATGTTCTTTATTTGAAAGATGAACAAACTTTTGGTCAAGCAAACCAGAATCGATAAATACAATGAAAGTTTATTAACGATTCGTTTCAATAAGAAAGTAATCGAAAGTTTGCTTTTTTCATTCTCAGTTAGATATAACAAACTAATCTTGGAAGGAGAAATTTATTTATTTTTGAATCTACGTATGTATACATCAGAGTCATACAGCAATGCTTTTTATTCTTATAAAAACCTCTTCAAATTTAAATGTTGATTGAAATATGCAAACTTTTCCTTCTCGATTTTATGTACGAGAAAATAAAAGAAATGCAATGTTATTATAGAAATTTGTTTGCTAAAAAAGTCCATTGAATTTTTCTGTTCTGTAATGCACTGGATAGGCAAGCGGATCGGGAACTTAAGTTACCATAAATTTATTGTTTCATAAATTTGACTCGAGGATGTTCGCTCCGAAAATTTATATTTATTAGTATTCGATGATTCAAAACCGTCATGACTTTATTCTAATAATAATCTAAACTAATAAATTTTGAAATTCTCTCGAATATTATCCATTTTATTACTCTCCTCTTTTAACTTTGCCGGAATTACTAATCGAACAAGTTCACATGTGCATTTATCTATTCGCTTTCATTTGCACACTCTGTCGATTATAGGTTAGTTATTCCCTGAAGCGAGTGTTTGTCTTTCTCTCCGAGCTAAAGTATAATCATGTTGGAATTTCAGTTGGATAAAAAGATAATTATTGTAACCGGAACAAACTATTTTGTATAATAGATCTCATTTTCGATCGATTAAATCGACTAGATATTAGCCTTTGAAAGACACAGGAACAGAGAATTACTTTTTACTACTCATGGTCGAATAAAAATTTTTATTTTTATAGGACTATAATTTCAATACAAGATTAACTTCACTTTCTCAAAACATAATGGAGTTCGTGAAGCACTCTTATTATACTTTACTTTACAAGGTACCGAAGATAATTCGCTTTATCATCAATATTGAATTGTCTCATCATCAGTCCAATTATAAACTACAATAATCTATATTTTTTCTCTTCTGTCCCGATATATTATATTAGTAGAACAATGGGGATCACCCTTGAAACATCACTATGATTATACTACTTCAGTTTTTGAAAAAATATTATTAGATTTGGGAAAAATGCATATGTGATAATATACTATACTGTCATCAAGCAGACTCAAAAACATATCAGATATTTCCTAAGCATACCTTGCCAATGTTGCGTTCGCACTTGGATCTAAAAATATCACACATATTTATCATTATTTTACAAGAGAAATGGCAATATTTTTACTCACCACGAGTTGAAATCATGATTGTTTTTGTTGTAACTAAATATATAGAATCACAATAGATAACAAAAAATAGGAATTGATACACACAAAATTACAGATGAATGAAATATAGTCATCTTTGTACTTATAAACATATTTTTCTCTGCTAAAATTTTCGTTCATTCTTTTTGTGATGTGAGAACGAAAAACAAATGCTATAGATTATGAATGGTCTTCAAAAAACTAATCATTGTATATGATAAGATTATTTATACATTGTCAAATTTTGATTATTTCTCATATTTTTTTTTATATCTATGGTTGACAGATATATGTAGTTATAGCACTCATCAGACAATATACCGACCTTTAGTTGATGTTAAAATTAAGAATGATCCATTGATTGTTGTTACTGCAAAAAAATTTAATATTTCTCAGAAATTATAGAAATGAGAAACATACAATTACTATTATTGTCTTTTTTTAGATCAGAGACTATAATTGGAACTGCAACAACAACGATAAGTAAACCAATAATACCCACAACCATAAGTACTATTTTGGGACCTGTTAAACACCGGCTGGCTCCTTTGTTTGTCATCTTGGCTGATGCTTGTGGCAATTGACGGCAACCTTTATCATGTTCCATAGCTGGTGATTTTGAACCTTGTGTCACCATTTCAATGTTATTGTCTGTATGTAATTGTTGATTTTTCTAGAGGAAAAAAAATAGTTGCTGTAATCTATTTTCTACTAACCATCGTTCATCAGATTATAAAAAAGTCTGAATTATTTTTCTATGAGAAAAACTAGAATTACTTTTCAGATATGATTAACTTACCGTTGACATGTTGAAACGAATAATATGCTCGACTGAACGAAGAATTTGTGTTTGTAACTGTTGATTGTTGGTAATGATCACTAATGAAAATATTTTAAACAAAAGATACGAGTTGCTTTGACGTCGTTTTTTTTTTGACGATGAAATAGCATCGCTTACCATAAGGTGAAGATAATTTAATATTCAAAAATGAACTAA